AAAAAAAAAAAAAAAAAAAAATGAGGCCGGGTATGGTAGTGCACACCTGTAGTTCTAACACTTGCGAGGCTGAGGCATGAGGCTCGTGTTTGAGGCCACCCTGGATTACATATACCCTGTCTCAAACAAACAAATTTTGTAAAAACCCTTGAAGCCTAGAAGAGTTTTTTCATATGGGTTTTTTAGATGAGTCAAAATGTGTTCAGGATAGTACGGCCGTAGATGTTGGTGGATTTGAAAAATTATTTTCTTTCCACTTTGTCCATTGTGAATAGGAATGTCTATTACCATTACCCTGTTTCTATCCTCGGCAGCAGATAAATTGTTTCTTGAATTTCATGGGCTCACAAATGGAAAGAAATTGTACCTTAGGGTAGATTATACCTGGCACCTCACTATTCCTTAGGTAGATGATTTAGATGATAAGATTTTGGATCTTTGAGCTGATGAGATTTAAATTAATGAGATTTTTTTTTTTTTTACTTTGTGCTGATGCTGTAGTTGTGCTTTGGGGGGACGTTGAGATGAGATTAGCATATTTTGCACACGAGATAAGTGTTACTCTTGGAAGGCCAGAGGACAGACTGCGCTAGGCCATCTCTACGACACCCACATTCTCGTCCCCGGAATCTCTGCGTCTGTCCACTCACGTGGCAAAGGTGAGTTTGCAGCTGTGATCAGCACACTGGGATAGGCAGGTGATCTTCCGCTCCCTGGGCAGAGCCAGTGTGATCGCACTGTACAAGAGGCCATCGCTAAGAGAGGAGCAGGTGGGCCAGAGTGAGAGAAGTTGTGGCCACTGAGGTCAAGGTCAGAGTTGCACTGGGCCATGAGCCGAGGAATCCAGGCAGCCCCTAGGAGTGCCTCATAAAAGGCAAGGAAATGGGTGCTTCCTTAGAGGCTTCAAAAGGAGCCCTGTACTGCCATCCCATTTTGGATTTCTGACCTTGGGAATCATAAAGTATGAAATTTATGTTATTTCCAGCCATTGAGTTTATGGTAATTTGTTACAGCAGTGATAGGAAATTAATACACTAACTTCTTCCTAATCCAAGCTCTGCAATGTCCCAGACAACCTGTTCACTCTCCCACCTGAGGCTCCTTTCACCTTTCTTTCCATGTCCCTGGGTTTCCAATGTGAAAACCCCTAAGTTTCACCTCCCACAGGCTGAGACCAGTTGTTTCCTTGGTATACTTCCTGCTCTTTCCTAACCCTTCCCAGATCTGCATCTACTGTTAGCCTGGTAGATTTTAACTCTAAACATTAAACTCTAACATTAAAATCACTGGGTAATGGTAGACTTAAAAAATATTAAAGCCCAGCTCAGACCCAGTTAAGGCAGAGGTGGCCTCAGGTTATCTGTGTTTTGTTTGTTTGGTTGGTTGGTTTGGTTTTTTGAGACAGGGTCTCGCTATATTTTCTAGGCTGGCCTCAAAACCTAGGCCATCTTCCTGCCTCAGCCTCCTTAGTGAGTGCTGAGATTATAGGTGTGTATCACCATGCCCAGAAGGCTATCAGTTTTTTAAAGCTCCCCAGGTAGTTCATTTTCTAATTATAATATGTTTGTGGTACATAATGATTATAATTATCATGGGGAATTGGTATATGCACATAATACATCTTAATTCTTTTTCCTGTTCTTTTGTTATTGTTTTTTATCCCTTCCCCACCCTCCCTCCTTCTTCCAACTGTCAGTCCCCTTTTCATTTGCAAAAGCTCTATTTTCAACATTTTTTCTATTCCTTTTCCCTCTTCTTCTGCACCCATTCCATCTCTTGTTCTCCATCCATTTGAAAAAGATTTCCCTACTTCTTTATCTATCTTCTATTTTGATATTATATATATATATGACTCTCAAGTTATGACCAGCCTGAC